TATTCGGAAAGCTTTTGACACTGTTTCTAGATGTTTTTTACTTAATAGGCTTGCTATGAAAGGCTTTCCTTGCAAAGTGGCTAATTGGATAAGGGCTTGCATTACTGATGTCAAATTTCTATTATTGTTAATGGTGCGCTTGAAGGTTTTTTTCCTTCTACTGCTGGGCTGAGGCAGGGGTGCCCCCTTAGCCCCTACCTTTTTTGCATTATTATGGATGCTTTTTCCTCTCTTTTGGAAGAGAGTGGCTTTAAAGGTATTAGCTTGGACGGTTTCAATCTTACTCATCTTCTGTACGCAAATGATGTTTTAATTTTTGGTGATGCTTCTATTGATAATTGTGCTGTCCTCATGAAAATTCTGGAAACTTTTGGCAATGCTTCTGGTCTCCATATTAACTTGGAGAAAAGCTCAGTTATGTTTCCCAAGAATTTGAGAAACAAAACTGATATCTGCAATACATTGGGCATACATAATGTTAGCAACAAAATTACCTACTTGGGAATTCCTCTTTCCTTCTACTCTTTAAAGGTGGCAGATTTCCTACCTCTCATGGACAGCCTTACCAAAAAACTCTCTGGTTGGAATGCGCATCTTCTTTCCTTTGCTGGGCGATTACAGTTTCTGAAATTCACTATTATTAACTCCATTGCCTACTGGATTCGGGGTTCGGTAATACCCAAAATTGTTATGAAATCTGTTAAGAAGCTATCTTCTAAATTCTTGCTTTTTGGAGATATGGACACTGTCAACAAGCTGCACATGATCTCTTGGGACAAAATTTGTCGTCCCAAATTGAATGGCGGTCTGGGCATCCCTTCTTTGGCTGCCTTGAAATATGCTTTCAATTGCTCTATTATATCTAGAATGTATAATCGAGTATCTCCTTTATCTATCTGGCTTCTACACAGGTACTCCTCTCCTTGGCGCCCCCCACCTACTTACTCTTCAAAATTCTGGAAACTGATTTGCGGTACTGCCATTGAAGCCAAAAAATTTTTCAGTTTTAAAATTTCTGCTTTGGCACCTGTTACTTTGTAATGGGATCATTGGTTTAATAGTACCTCTTTAGCTGATAATATGGCTGATTTTCATTTATATAATGATACCACTGCTAATACCTATTTGAAGGAGTACATTATTGACAATTCTTGGAGTATACCTAGTCATCTTCCAACTTCTGTTAAGCAACTCATTAGTGAGCTGCATATCTCTGATTCTACTACTTGCTTAATCTGGAATAACTCGGGAAATGGTGAATTCAGTGATTTTGTTAAAGGGTATTATTCTGACTTGATTATCTGCCCTTGGGCATCTCTTATATGGCATAAGCGGGCTGCATTGCGTTATTCTGTATATGTTTGGATGAGTATGGTGGGGGGGCTTAAAACTGCGGATGGCCTTCACAAGCGTAACATCATGGTTCAACCTATGTGCAGTCTTTGTAATGTTTTTCCTGAGTCCACAACTCACTTATTTTTTGAATGTTCTATCTCGTACTCCATTCTTGCTCGCAACATCCCAGTTTCTCATTGCCTTTTGCTTAGGCCGAGTGTTCTCCAACTCTTTGAATGGATTGCTTCCTGTTTTGCTGGGAACAAACCTGAGAGGAATTTTTACTTCCTCATTGCTAGCTGCACTATCTACCATATTTGGAAGGAAAGAAATGATAGGAGGTTTGGGTCCTCCTTTAAATGTGTTAATACGGTTGCACTGATCATTAGAAGAGTTGTTTTTGAAAAAAATTCAAATTGGAAAGATGTTGGTATTCTCAGGGAGCTGTTGTAATGGGAATCTTAGTATCTCTGGCTCGTCTTGTTGCACTGAACATATGAAGAGCTGTTGTTGCTACTCTCCGACCAGCCTGAGGGATTTTCTGCTTGGACGATGATGTTCCCAATTCTGGCCCTCCTTGGATGGTCCTCGAGCAACCAGGAGGATTCCAGTTGCTGCCTCTTTAATGCTACTCTTAGCATTTCTTTTTGATCTATGCTGAGTCCAAGCTTTTAATTTTTTGACCTTTTTTGGTTTTTTGGTGCAGAATTGTAATCTTGGGCTGAGTTTTTCTTCTTTTTGCAGGTCTTACATTCTACAGTTAATTTTTTTTGGGTTGTGTCTGTCATATTTTGGGCCTAATTGGCCAGCCTCTTTTTTTCTTTGAGGCTCTTGTTTTTTACCTGTAACTCTCTTTTATCATTTATATACGGGCTATGCCCAAATTTTCCCAAAAAAAAAAAAAAATTTCCTTCCTGTCTTTTGAGTTGTAAATTTTTTACTTCTTTTGACTGTTAGTTATAATTATTTTGTAGTGCAAAGCCATCGGTCTCTGACCAAAATTTCCCCCAAAAAAGAACGAGCCATTACGTTTCTTGCACAGAATCCGATGTCGATGTGGGGCCCGCAGAAACGGCCTTCTTGTCTTTTTAAGTGCTTCGTCATTGGACCGTTGTAAGCTTCGCCGTCCATCGTTACGCCCGTCTTTGCTGATGTGGCATAGTAAGACTAGTTCACCAGATTATGACTTTTCTGAGAGAGACTTACTTGGAACTTGGACGGCGTAGATATTTCTATCACAATCTTTCATCACATTTTGGACGGCAGAAATTAAATTTGCTTTTTTTTTAGTGAATCACTTTGACTAAAATATCTATTCATAGAAAATGAATAAATGACTGAAATTGAAATAATTATATAATATATTTTCCATGACTAATGAACCGATTATGTCTTTTTTGTTCTTGTAGAATTTTATTTTCTTAATTATAATTTATATATATTTTTAAAATCAACTTTATTTAATATATTTGAGAAAATAAAAATATATAGATATTCATAAATTTCATCCAAAAAATGTTATTTCCGACGATAATTTTTTATCACATAAATTTTCAGTTATATAGATAATTATTCTACCTATTATAAGAATCATAATTTTCATCATATTAAATTTTTTTTGGAACAGGATATCCATATGCTTCCACCCCCAAAAAGACGCTTGGTATCGTGACTAATCCTCGACTGACCTAGAAGAGCCACCCACTCCTAAAACTTCCTGGGACCGCACTTGATTGGGTCCCACTTAAGAGCTGTTGCCACTCGAGAGGAATCGAGCACGGTTTGAGGGGTTCCCAACCGTACTCGCCCACCAACCAAACTAAGCAACGGTGGGTATCATATTCAACTTATTCAACACTATCCAAAACGTCACATACATTAATTGGTATTTTTTAACCAAAAAAGCACATCTTTTCAATACAAAGACTCCCCTTTTAGTATAGAAGAAAAACAAAAGATCTCTCACACAACGCACTAATCATATAAAGATAAATAAATGTCTTTTTCTCATTAAGAAGTTACAGAGTTCTTCAAAACTGTAAAATCAATAAAATAATGAACCAAACAATATAACCGTCTAAATCGAAATTGACCCTAATTTAATATGGATCATGTATCTTTTTTTATCAACATCACTCGTTTAACCTGAATATAACCCATTTAATCAAAAAATAAATGTTTAACCTGAATATGAATAATATTTGAGCCAATTTTAAATTTACGACTCAACCCAAATCCAACCTAAAATCTTACCTAGCCAAGATGTCAAACTCAAAGTCAACCTAAAATTTAATGGAAATTTTATAAGGAGGACTTTTCGGTCATCTTTGATATGTCCCTGAGCCACTTGGTCCCTCGGGTATTTGATGTATGGCCATGCCTGGACGATGATGAAGCTCCCCTTGTTCATCCCTAGGATGGTTTACGGGCAACCAGGGATAAGCCCCTCGATTCCGTGTTATTTTCTGAGTCCAGGCAACTGGGCTCGGGAGCTGGTTTTACTTCTATATGCTACAGGTTTTCTCCCCCGCTGGAGCTGGAGCTGTAATATGTTCGGGTCACTGGGGACTTTCTTTTGGCTGGTGATCCTGATGTCACGGGCTGTGGACTGCTCTTTTTACTGCTACTGCAGATGCTTTAACTGTTGTTTTTTGCTTACTGCCACATTTTGGTGCTTAAGTTGATATTTTGATTGTATTTGGGTAGTATAGTTGGGGTTTCTTTTCTTTTTTCTCAACATAAGTTTTTGTTACCTGCTTATGTTAGGAAGTTATTTTTCTTACATGTATCCTTTAATTCCCTGTAATGTTTCTTCTTTATTGAAATAAAAGGGCTTTTGCCCCAATTTTCCCAAAAAAAAAAAAAAAAAACCTAAAATTTAATCAGGTTTATTTAAATCACTATTTAAAAAAAAAATCAAGCGACTACATAAAATTTTTAAATAGTCAAAGACTATTTCGATCCTCATAAGAATTGAGGAATCATTTTAATCTTTATCTAATAGGTAAATATTCCAAATTTTTTAAAAAATTGAAATGAGATGAAAAATTCTACAAATCTTACCCACAACTTATTTGTAATAAGATATTTTTTCAGTGCATGCACGTGAAAAAAATTAATTATACTATAACTATTCAAACACGATTGCATTAAAATTGCAAAAGTTATTTTTACGAGGTATTGCTCAAGAAAACAAGAACATAATTTTTTTTTTTTTTTTTTTTTAAACAAGAACATAAATTGAATACGACGAATGTAAAAAAAAAAATTCATTTTTTTTATTACCAATTAAAATAAAATTCAAGACAATATATTAAATAAGCTTTCCTTAGTTAAAAAATTCTAAAAATATATAATTAAAATATCTCGATAAAAATTTTCGTTAGAATAAGTCAATAAATCAAAGAGTTTAGAGAAATAAATAAATTGTGTGCATTAGTAAGTTTAATTGACAAAATATTTACAAATTTATCATTATAGACATTCAATATATTAAACAAGGAAACACGTGGCTCAACACGAGCCAACTAAATGACCACGTGTACGGTCATACGTTCTAAGCGGCTCATCGTCCACAGTCGACCCCAACGGCTCGTTACCGACACCTGGCGGTTTGCTCTGGTCCGCCTGCTGCGGGATAGCCCTTTAAATTCCCCTCTTTACCCTCCTGCGCAGAAAATCTCTCTCCGAGACACCAGAGACAGAAACAGAGGTTGGGGCGAAGCAGAGACTAAGAGGTCAAGAAGAAAAAGATCCCACCACCAGCACGCAATGGAGTGGTGGAATCGAATGATTTTTCCCGCGAAGCGCGTTTGGGTCGGCGTCGCCGCTCGCTTCAGCTTACGGAAGAACGGTAAGTTCTCCAAAGCTCGGAATCGATGAACTTAGGTATTGGATCTGCCATGATCGGTTACTATGGAGGTGATTTTGGTTACCTTCTTTGGTTTTCAGGGTTAAGGAAGCTGAGGCAGGAGGTGAGCACCTGTGAGTACGAGGACGTTCGTGTTATGTGGGAGATGCTGCGGAGGAATGAGATTGAGATCGCTCGATCTCCGCCGTTGAACGATCAGCCGGCGACGAAGCTCCGCCGGCGATGGGTTATGTTCGACTGGCCGCCCTATAATCTCTGCGCTAGCTTCTGATTGTCTTCTCAGGAATCCGTCGGTTACGACAAGGAGCGTCCTCTTTCTCTTTCCCTCTTTCTCTTGAAATGAGTGATGAGGATTTCTGATTTCTCACCGATTAAACCCAAAAAGCGAGCCAATCTTGTGTTCCGTCTTAGTCTCGTATCGCCAAAAATAAATAAGGCTTTCAAATCTGTTCACGATCTTTCATAAGATATAAATGCTTAAATAAAGCTTCATGTGTCACGATCGCATAATTATTTTAAAAGTGAAGGCTGATTGCTTGTTCTAAACTCTGAATCACAGAAATGAGGGATTGAGGATGTGCAGTGGAGGTAACATATCATTTCACTGAAGATAAATTTGCTACAGACAGACTATTTTCAAAGTTTTTAATTCAATCCCAGTAATTCTGCTTCATATGAAAGATACTGAACAATGAGCAGTATTAATTTACGCGGAAAACTTTAATCTGACTTCAATTGAATCAGATTAAAGTTCAGTTGACTTTGATTTATCTTCAAACAAAATCTCATTATGCCAATTTTTTTTGGTTTAGCAGTTAAAAAATCCAAATGACGTGAAGTTTGCTAACCGAATTAGGAAGTCTAAGAAATCCTAACGTAATTAGGATTCGATTTCAACCCCAATACTTAGGCTCTATTATCTGTTGTTACTTGAAAATTTGTAGAGCCTGGTCTATTTTGAATCAAAGTTCTTTTGTTTTAAGTTTGTGCTTCAAACCAATGCTCTATTAGTTTCCATGTGAACAGTATATGATGATGGCTTCGATCTGAAATAAAATTGCATTCAGTTCTTAAGATTAAGGCTTCGGTTGGTTCTTCATCTCCTTTGTGAAAGATAATTTTAAAAATAAATGATTAAGGAAATGGAGTTTTCTTCCTCTTCGTTTGGTTCTTCCTCTTCATTTGTGAAAGGTAGTTTTAAGTTTTCTAACAGATAAGCAAATATCAAAAAGCTTCTTAAAATAGTAGCAAAATAAATTTTCCTAGAAAATATTTCTATTGAAGCGTCTCATCCAAATAACGACAAAAAAAAAATGAGGCCTAACTAACTGAAATCTATGTTCTCAACTTTGTAATTTGAGTTCATCCTTGCAAGTTCTTAGAATTCCATACCAATATTGTATCAATAGAGAGAGAATTTATAATTTGAAAGAGGAAAATTGTTAAGCTTAGCCAACTGAAATAATTTTTACTGATTATAACTGAGAATTGGAGGACAGTGTAACATAAAAAACTGAAGCTACAAATAATACCCCATTGCAGTGGAGTCCAAAGAGATTGATATAGTTAACAATAATATCACTATCAAAGTGGACCAGAAATTGATTGGCAAAAGAAGGTAAACGAGCCCAATTTCTCTCCTAAAAGAAAGGAAGATTAAATGGCATGAAACCACCGAACAGCTAAATATAGTTTTAAGGGACTAAGGTTTCGTTTGGTACTGACTTTTTTTTCTGATTCTTAAAATTATTTTTTAATATAAAAATTAAAATTTTATATTATAAGCTGCTTTAAGAAGCAGTAAAAAAGCCGTCACAAACAAGAACAATTATTACTTCCTCTGACCGGACGTAGAGCTACGTTCGGCCGCCAATAACATCTCGCCACGTGCTCTTACTCTTTACCGCGCGGCCCGAGGACTTGACCCGGACCGGAACTCGGGAATGCTATGTTTGCGTATTGCGAGGTATAACTCGGTATTGCTTGGCAATAACGAGAAATACCGCTCTGTGAAGACCAATACCGAGCAATACCGAGTTGTACAGAGTTTTTCTAGACCAATACCGAGCAATACCGCCAGTAGAAAAACTCAGTACAACTCGATATTTGCTCGATATTGCTCTGTATTTGCTCGGTATTGGCTGAGCAATATCAACCAATACCGAGCAATACCTAGTAAAATTGAGAAATACCGAGCCATCCTGGGTCCGTTCCGGATCAAGTTATCGGGGCGCGCGCTAAATAATGAGAACGCGTGATGCGATTCTACTGGCGGTCGAACGTAGAGATGCATCCTGTAATTGGACCAAATAAAAGTTTCACAAGCAAAGCCTAAATTACCTAAAATTGGCTAAATTTGATCAGAAAAACCACACTAATAATAGACCACCGCATTGAATCTAGCAATATAGGTTGGATCAGAAAACATTAAAGCATTCCAAATGGGATTAGGCTTTCGAATTCTTTATAAATTGGGGGTTCCGAACCAAATTTAGATATCCAGAATATGTAAAATAACAGCCAGAGTTTAATATTTCCAGCCTTGTCCATCTTTGAGAGCATTTTCTAATCTGATTAACAGGAAAACTAAGCTTGCATAACAATTTGTTTACTTTCACAAATATAATAAATTTGAGCTCATTGCAGACCATCAAGCATGATAATAATACACCATCTATCAAACAAAACTAAAGACAAATACTAAACTTTATGAAGAAGCTAAGTTCAAAATTGTCGTCACAGCTAGTTATAATAAATTAAGTTTTTTAGAGGTCTAAATATTGAACTTGCAGATACTTTGAAGGTCAAAAGTTTCAATCAGATGACTAGAACTATCATAATTTTCATACTTTGGAGAGTATGTCATTACATCAACATCATCATTAAAAATTAAAGGTGCAATCATTTAGTGTTTGTTACAAGAATTATTATTTTAATTAGCCCCTCCAGCTACACTTTCTTCTGTCCAAAGTGGACAACACAGCAGGAAAAGTTATTACGTCCGGACAAAAAACTGAAAATCCGAACATATACCAAGCAATACCGAGTGCTCGGTATCGAGTATAGGTGACGTTGCACGCTGTTATTGGTCTCTGGACGCGTTTGATGTCCTGACACAATAATTACTCGCACAGCAGACTAAACCTGGAGAAAGAAAGAAGAAGGCAAATCAATAGCATCGCAGATTCCCATTACAAAATAAATTTCTAGCATGCATATATGCTCAACTATATTTCCGAACATTAGGGCTTATTGTTATGCCTAAATTTTAAAATACATTAGTACTTTAATTTTTTACACACACACACATATATATATAACTTTTAATATTGATAATAACCTTACATAAATCTTTTTTTATTAAATTAATAACTTTATCAAAATTAATTCAACATTAGACTCCACAACAACTTGACTATGGCTTCGCTTCGGAACAACTTTTTTACGACTTAAAATAATTTTTTATATAAAAATTAAAATTTATGTACTAGAAAACTGCTTTAAGAAGCAATAAGAAAGTTGTCGACCCATCGATGCTTAGCTCAGTTGGTGGGCCAGTGGGATTGGGAGCTCCCCAACCCGTGCTCGATTCCCTCGAGCGACAGCGCCCCATAGGTGGGGTCCCATTAAGCGCGCGCTAGGTGGTGATCAGGTGTGGGTACCATCTGTAGGTCAACCGAGAGACTAGTGCCACCACCAAGCGCCTCACAAGATGAGGTGGCAGCGGGTTAATACCACCATTCCCACAAAAAAAAAAAAAAAAGCCGGCACAAATTAAGGTTTCGTTTGGGATGTCTTTCTTACTGCTTCGTAAAACAAAAAAAAAAAAAAAAAAAAAAGCCGGCACAAATTAAGGTTTCGTTTGGGATGTCTTTCTTACTGCTTCGTAAAACAACTTTTTTATATAAAAATTAAAATTTGTGCACTAAAAATTTACTTTAAAAAAGACAAAAAAAGTCGTCACAAATGAAGCCTAAGTCAAGAGTTAACATAAAAATCTTCATATCACTCTTACCAAGCATTAATATTAAAGAAGTGATGCCTCACCCATCACTTTGGGTCTCCAATAAACAAATGAAAATAACACCATACACTATTAATAAGAGATACCTTCCCACGAATCTTCATAAATTAATAGAATGATTGAGAAGCTATGCTTCAGCTGCTAGCGGCCAAGCATATAAAACAGTCAGCAAACACATTCATAATGGTCCTCTGACGTGGATCATTGAAGACAAAACGAATAGTTTATTTTTTAATGAAATTTAAATTTAGGAGGGTTTGAATAGCCGTTGGGACCATTTGTAAGCAGCAATCAACAAATCAGAAGAGGTGGTTGACCTGTTTGCAACTACGAATCATTGCAGGGCAAATGGAGCTCACTGCATACTGAATATACATTATCAAACATAAGCAGGGTATGTGTAGGATTATGCAAGTAGTTTTATGTGAGGAATACATAATGAGTACATAGCCATGTATGTGTTCAAGTAATCTATATGTGAAATTATGTTCATAATTCGCATAACCGTGTGACGAATTGTATGCGAGCAGCAAGTTTAAGAGACTCAGGCTTCATTTTGGACAGTTTTTTTATTGCTTTCTAAAGTAGTTTTTCGATATAAAAATTTCTAGTTCAAGAATTTTTTTACTAAAAAGTTGCTTTAGAATGCAGAAAGAAAGTTATCACAAACGAAGCCTTAGAAGATGGCATTGAAGTTAAAAAAAATGCATTAGAAATATATTTATATAAGGGGAAAGGTTAGAATAGCGCCTGTTAGTCCTAAGATAAAGAATGGTTATAAAGAGGAAGCAAAGTAAATGTATGGAAGGTTACCTAATACTAAATAAAGTCTTGCATGATATAGGCAACCTCCTTGCTCCATTGGAAAAGCTCAGCCCAACTCAAAAGAAGCTCAAAAGCTTAAGTGTCGAAAGTTAGATGGATTACTGAAGGATACGTGGTGCATCCTTAGGGTAGTCTAAGGCTTCTCCAATGCTAAAAGGACGGAGAAATTATTACGTGCGGAGTTCGGACTTAGAGTTGTGTCCGGACTCTACGCATTTACTGAGTATTTTACCGCGTAGTAAATACTCAATAAATACATAGTAAATACTCAACAAATATGTAGTAAATACTCAATAAATATGCAAAAAATAAAGAGCAATATAAAAAACTATATTTTGACCAATGTGAATATTTCATTAGAGTCCGGACATGCCTCTAGATCTGGACTCCGCACGTAATAATCTCCCGAAGCACATGCACCATATATACACAAATGATTCCCCAAAGATGGCACGGGCATGCCCAACATTGGCTATGTGAGACTATGAAGTAAGAATATTAAGTTGCCAATAAATCTACAACTCCTAAATAAAATTTGTTTGCCCAAATCCCTAAAAAAAAAAAGAAGGAGATTTCACCTTCTTATCCACGGAACATGTGTAACTTGATATGACTTAGGAACTTAGAAAATCACAGAATATAACCTATTATCTATGTTGAAGGTCATCCTAGAAGATGTTCATAAATACCATGGAACTCATCTTGAGAAATCCAATTCTACTTCATTCTTTTTTTCCCTATTATTTTGTAGCATTTATTGTAAGGAATAAAGAATTAAAAGGAGTCAACTTCTGTTAGATCAGTCCAGCCGGTCCGCACTGGACCGGCCCAAACGCAAAAGAGGTGGGATCTCCGCCTCCTGCGGAGATCAGGCGGTCCAAATGCCCAAGCGGAGCCTTTTAGGAAAATTTTTTAGGGTTTTGAGAGGGAAATTTGAATGTATGGACTGTTTAGGAATTTCCTTTTGATTTGCATGCATTAAATAGTTGATTTTCCTAGGGTTATGGCATCTTGAATTTGGCTGAAATTTGAGATCACTTAGATTTAGGTTTTTTTTAGGCTCTAGCGGCTAGAGATTTGGGAGAGATCGATCCTCCTCTCGAATAGAGGATCAATTGTATCTTGCTATTTTCCGTTTCTTTTTCATCATATAATACAAATTATCTACTATTTTTGTAGATTTGTGTGGATTTTGGTAGAGAATTCTCGTTGTTTTCAAAAGATTGTTAGGAAATACTTGAGATCTACAAGTACTTCCTATCAAATTGGTATCAGAGCACGTCGATCGAAGGGGAACCAATGGCCGGAAGGAAAGTGGAAGTTTTGGATGGAGAACTTGGGCAACTCAAAGCAGATTTTGAGGAAAATATGGCTTATTTGCAAAGTTAAATTTCAACCGTCAACGAAAAGATGGAGGAAAAGTTCGCCTTGGTGTAAGACATATTAAAGAAATTACTTGAAACCAAAATCAAATCAGTGACATTAGAAGCAAAGGAAACTACCGGCGGCCATGGAAGAGATGGGAGCCCTAACACGTCTAGGGGAAGGGAAAAGCCAAACGTGGAGATCCTGGAGGGAGAAGATGAAATGCCTTCCCTAAAACCACTTTTTAGGGAGGAGATGAGCATTGGCCACGCAAGAAAGGATGCTGAATTTGTAAGGCAAGGGGATGATTTCTATCACCGGGGTGCTGATTTTGAAAGAAGAAGAGGGGATTTTGATGAATGGTTTGGGTATGATCGCCAGAGGGAAGATCGTGAGAATTGGGGAGCATCTCTGCTTAAATACTAATAATAGATTAAATACTAATGAGGGAGAAAGATATATGTATAAGTTAGTCAAACAAAGAGATAGGAGTAGTAAGGATTTAGTTCTAGTGAAGTGTATTAAGGAGGAAGATTAAAAAATACTTTTCTTAGAATATGATATTCAACAAAGGTGGATGAGATATTTTGCTAAACTTTTTAATGAAGATTGTGAAAATAAGATTGACTATAGTGACCTTAGCACCCTAAATGAAAATAAAGATTTCTGTTTTTATTAACGTATTAGTAAAACTAAAGTTAGAGAGGCTTTAAATAAAATGAAAGGTGGAAAAGCTATTGGACCTGATGATATTCCAATAGAGGTGTGGAAATGCTTAGGAGATGAATGGATTTCTTGGATTACTAAACTTTTTAATACTATTTTGAAGAATAAAAAGATGTCAGATGAGTGGAGAATGAGTGTGTTAATTCCTATTTTTAAGAATAAAGGTGATGCACAGGATTGTATGAATTATAGAGGTATTTAAGTTAATGTGTCATACTTTAAAACTATGGGAGCGAGTTATGGAGCATAGGTTGCGGCGTGATACTAATATTTCTCAAAATCAATTTGGATTCATGCGGGGTAGGTCGACTATGGAAGCCATACATTTATTAAGAGGTTTGATGGAGAAATATAGAGAAAATAAGGAGGATCTACATATGATATTTATTGATTTAGAAAAAAGCATATGATAAAGTTCCAAGAGAAGTGCTATGGAGAGTTCTTGAAAAGAAAGGAGTCAATAATGCTTATATTCAAATCATTAAAGATATGTATGCATGAGCTATTACTTGTGTTCAAACACAAGGTGGTTTGACCAAGTATTTCCCTATTTCGGTTGGGTTACATCAAGGATCAGCCTTAAGCCCATATCTATTTGCTTTAGTCATGGATGTTCTCACTAGACATTTGCAAGATGATGTACCTTGGTGTATGCTTTTTGCTGATGATATTCTTCTTGTTAACAAGACTAGAGAGGGAGTTGAAGGTAAACTTGAATTATGGAGGTCAACCTTAGAGTCTAAAGGTTTTCGCTTGAGTAGATCTAAAACGGAATATATGGAGTGCAATTTTAGTAGTAATAGACCTAGTGAGGGGATTGTGACTTTGGGCGATCAAGTCATTAATAAGAGTACACGTTTTAGATATCTTGGATCTATTGTTCAGAGTGATGGTGAAATAGATGGGGATATTATCAGCAGAATTCAAGTTGGATGGTTGAAGTGGAGGAATGCATCGGGCTTGTTATGTGATAGAAATGTACCCCTCAAACTTAAGGGAAAATTCTATAAGATGGTAGTGAGGCCTGCAATGCTTTATGGTGCCGAATGTTGGCCATTAAAAGAGAAGCATAATACTAAGTTAAGTGTTACAGAGATGAGGATGCTCAGGTGGATGAGTGGCTTTACCCTTGGAGACAAGATACGAAATGAGCATATACGTGAAAAGGTTGGAGTAGCTCCAATAGAAGATAAGATTAGAGAAA